TGAAATCGAACCCTGATGCAAAATGAAAGTCTTAATCTCGTCATAGAAACCCAATTACTCATCGTATGTATAAATTGAAGCCTGTGAGTAGCACGAAGCAGCGTAAACTCTACCAGTAGCATGAATAGTAACAAATTAATTCATGGTTAAATATATTCATAGGGGTAAATAGCTTAATGAACGGGAAAATCTAGCGCGTTATAAAAAAGTCCCTGAAGTCTACTAAAAAACGAAAATAAGTAATGTATTGGTTTATACTAGAAGATACAAATTTGCTTCCATGATGATCCGTCGACAGGTGACATAGGAAAGGCCTGGCCTTCTTTTCCATCTATAACCAGGTTTTCGAGACTACCATATCTTAAATAAGAGACTATTTGGTTTATAGTGATGAAGGATAAGTAGTTAACTGTTCTCACAATGACATGAGTAGGCCTCACGCGTGCATTGAACTTTCTTCCCAAAAAGATAATCTTATCCTTAAGCTAGGCCAACATTATAGTCCACTCCTAGCTTTTGAAAAGCAAGGCTATGTTGAAGTTAATGGAAACATGAGGCCTACACACATTATTGTGGGGAAACTCAACTTCCAATCCTTCATCACTAAAAACGAAATAGGGTAAATACAGTGCTTTTAAAGGTCCCCTGATAGTTTCGAAAAACTAAAATAAAGAAGATAATTGCAAAGTTCTTGGTTAAGTGTTTTCAAAACTCTTCGACAAATTTATTCCACACTTTTCATTTTTTGGAAAAGGTACTTTGAAAGCGCCAAGGGCTTGTTTGCCTCTGAATTTGCAAATTATATTTCACGTCGTACGATAAGGCTGAAATACAACATATGAGCAAGTATAGTCCATAGAAATTACCCAATAGAGTTTGGGAATAAAAGAATTATTCACATGAAGTAGCATTGAAGTGCTCTATACCGGATTTGATTGCCAGTCCAGTCTGAAACCTAGAGGGCCCCATTGGAATACCAAAGCCTCTAATATGTGTAATAATTACATTGCCTGTAAAAAATTAAGGTAGTCTACATATCAATTACATTAGGAGGTTGTGGTTCCTAAAAAAGCCAGTATCCATTGTAATAGGAAAATTATATACTTAATTTCTCACATGCACGTATACAAGATTCTTACCAACCTACTCAGGAATTATGAAAAGAATGTCTGCAGCTAGAATACCTCAACAAACGCTAAGAGTATGGGGGACCAATGCAGATTAATATAAACCAGTAAATGAAAAAATAGGAACCAAGTTCCGCATTAGGGGACCCCAAACAGTAAAAAGCATTGAAGTAAATAAATCTATTTATCAATCAATTTTGTATATATATATATATATATATACATATATATACATAGCTATATATATAGTTATATATACATTTACATTAATAAAGTCCTAGAAGCCCATTAATCCGGCAAGCCTCGATTGAAGATATTTTGGAACGGAAAAAACCTCAACTAATGAAGAAACCAAAAATAGTGATTAATTAAATGTACAAAGAATGAGAAAAATTCCCAATTCATTGGGCAAGAGGGATCAAAGGGCTAAAGGTTTAAAGCAGATTCAGCTGTAGACAGAGAAATACAAAATAAGTGGAAATAAACGTGCAGATCATGGGAGAGATTGATCTGAAAAAGACACTAAGGAGAATAGGAAAGAGAAATAAAAATAATAAGTATACATAATAGTACTTATGGAGGAGGTAGAGACAGGTAGATCAAAAGTATGGACACATAAGCATAAGTCCCCGGCGAAAGATACGATCGCAAAGCAGGTCAAAGTAAGTGGCCAAGAGCACAGATTACGGTCACATGAAAACTTGCATACACAGGATAAAAGATTGTACATAATTAAGTGTAGTGATGTTCGTCAATGATAGAAAAGGAAAATATAATTAATCCATGGACGAAAAGCAGGACAAAATAAGGCTATGAAGCGTTAAAAAATCCGAATTAACGGAATAAGAAAGTTTGTTAATTAAACGAATGTGAAGAATGGTGATATGGAATATTGATGAACATACAAAAGGATGGATTAAAATTAGCGGACCAAAAGCATTCAGTTGTATCTTGAACCACTTATGTAAACCGAAACACCAAGCGATAGTTAGGCCAAGAGTGGAGCCAACTTTTTGATAACCCAGATCCTTAGTTCATAGCAGTATCAGAATGTGCGTATCAGTGGTGTTAATATCCACAATCTCTTAAACAGCTGATCCAACCACAAGAAGGCTTAGTTGCAATTCGTTTGTGAGTCTGAATCCACCAGTTGCTCAGCGCCCAAAGATTCAACAACAGTCTGTCCCAGTCGCGCTGTTATTAAAGGCGAACTTGAAGAAGATGGAGAGGAGGCTACGGTCGATGAGGATGGGAGACAGGTGACCAGAATGCGTCGTGGTAGAGGCCGGTTTACATCAAGGCCTCCCGAAGGCCGCCAGGTGGCTGGTTTATCAGATTCAGCCGGTCCTGCGGAACTTAAGATGATTGGCGACTTCATTTCCACATCTGCAGTGGATGCATTGAGATGTAGCCATGGCGCCATCTGGAGCTGACTGATGCACTGAGGCCGTGCAACAGCAGATGGTCCGGTCCATGTGGTTGGAACAATGTGCGAACCGACAGTGGGAATTGTTGTTGGCGATGTCCTGATGATAGCAGAAGGCAAACAAGGTCGGACGACGGGCAAAAGACGGGGCGAGTTAAGGCGAACTAGTTGGGGCGAATAGACGCTCCGAGAACTGGCAGACTGACCGATGGGGGTCAGAGCGATCACAGTGGCTGGATTGCAGCGAGTCTGACCCAAGACCGTGACTGAGCGCATAGGAGATGCACTTCTTACTGCTGAAGATACAAGATTAGAATGTGACACTGTTGAAGATGAAGATGAAAAGGAAGGCATGAAAGATGACGGGGAAGGTGAAGTCGTCAGGGCCCCGGTTCTATTGGAGAAAGTAATTGTGGAGTGAGGAATAGCCCCATGGGCATAGGGAGAGGTAGAGGAAACAGTAGTGGATGAGGATGGAGGAGCAAAAGATATTGTGGAAGAAGATGACGAGGGCGAGACGACACTGTCTAAATTGGATGTTGGGAAGACAAGATGTGAGTTGGGCCGTGCTTGAAGACGATCGACGACCCGAATAAACTGGTCCGGAGGTTGTATAGGCTGAGTGAAGCGTTGTTGATAGACTTCTCCTGGCCAGTGCAAAAAGGAAATGATTGATTGGGTAAGTATCACGCAATAAGCATTAATAAAAAAAACTTTTCCAAAACCTAAAGAAAAAGCACAGAAATCTAAGTTGGACTGATTAAGATTAAGTAATTAATATTTTTCGTTTATAAATACGGTTTCGAGACTACAAGTAAATTAGCTATATGAGGTGTACTCACTCTATTTCGTTTATGGTGATGAAGGATTGGTATTTGAATTGTCCAATAATCAGATGAGTAGAGCTAAAGTTTATTTGAATTTCACATTGCCTCGATTTCCCAAAAGGCATTCCCGTCCAGGATTAACTGCAGTTTCAACCTTGCTTAGGTCTTATCAACACATGAAATTCACATCTGCCCTATGACACCAGGGCATTCGTGGCAATGTGGTGTAGATTACACGCAGAATTGTCATGGTTCGATTCCAGCCAAGGGTGCTGATAAGACCTGGGCGAGATAGAAACTACAGTCCATCCTAAATGGGAATACCTATTGAAAATGTAAACCTTCGCTCTACTTATCTGATTATGGGACAATTCAACTACCAGTTCTTCATCACTTTAAACGAAATAGAATAAGTACTTCTCATATATTTTATTAATAGACAGCATAAATGCAGAAAAATATCAAATGGAAATTTAAGCATCACAAAGAAAAAAAAAGCATGTTAATAAATGAGCCACAAAAAAAACAAGGAAAAAGATGCCAGAATTTAATAAAAGGATAAAATTGTTAGAAGTGGGTTGACCTCGTTGTCGCAACTTGATCTTGTTGTCAGGGTAACTATGTAGAACGCACCTAGTCCGAAGTCGGCTGAAATAGTAGTTGTCATGATTCCCAGCATCTGACAGTGGACATGATACATTTGCAAACGTTTCGCCGGGATCATCAGTGAGTGCTGCCAGTCTCCGCACCAAGTTATAAACCGGTCAAAGAGACAAGTGGAGTCAATCCCTCGACAAGCGTTCTGCCGAAAACGTTTACACTATCATTCATCTTTTTGTCATCGTCTATCTATCTACTCTTTACCCTCTTATCTCACTGCTGCCTTATCACAACTTCTCACTTGTTTACATTCGAATCGTCTAAATAAGTGCCCTTTTGTGGCAAACCGAGTGTGGCCTCATCACACTTGCTATTTACCCCGAGCTCTCTCTTTTGATAACTTATCCGACTCGGGCCTCTAATCCGGATCCTTTCATCGTCTCGTATATCCGTTCCTTATCATTCTGGTTGACCGATTTCACTCGGTTCCAGTCCCAGTGTGCATTTCACTCCAGGCGCTATTGCTCAAGGCCCTAGAAGCACACACACTGTCACTTCACTAAGCGGAGCGCTTAAGCTCTGATTTCCATACTTGCAGATATCAGGCT